GTTACTAACCTGATCTGATGTAACGTCAGGTCACCCAGTGTTGGGTGGGGGATTAGTGGGTCTTATGACCTGAAGACCTCTTGAATGACATTTTTTACCTATGAGGTATATACATAGTACTATACTGTATTGTACATCCAATCCTCGCCTAACGTTGTCGTTACGTTCTTGTAAAACACAACGTTAACGGAATAAATTTCCCCATAAGAAATAGATAAAATATGCTGGTTACGTTCCCCAGCCTACCTTTGCCCCATAAAATACATTACATATTCGTAAATTCCATGAAATTTTTATAGAAAATGTATATTACACATAAAAAAAGGTAAATAAACTAAATTAATATTTAATTAATAAGATAATAAAATCATTTTGTATTGCACTCACTGATGGGCAGAGGTGGAGTGACTGTGGTGGAGAGGAGGAGGGTGGCGAATCACTGAGACCCAGAGGGGGGCTAACGCTACACTACAGCACGTTCATCTTTCTCAAAATGGTTTAAAACCTCCATTTTCATAGCAAGGCTAAAGGTCTTGTGTTGCTTCTTCACAACACTGGCATCACTAACACTTGATGGGCACTTGGGAACTATTTTGAATGGTTACAGTACAGTACTTATAGCAAGAACACTTACTGTAAACACTCACGTACGCTGTGGAAGCTTAACAAAGACTGGGGAGTAAATGCTTGGGGACGCCGTGACACTCCGCGAGAGAGCGTAGCCCGCCATACAAAGTAGTCCGTGTTGGGCGACAACGTTATAACGAATCGGTTGGGTCGTGAGACAACGTTGTCGGAATCATGGGTATCTGAAGAGTAGCGACATTTTCTGGGACAACGTTAAGCGAGGACTGGGTGTATATGGAGGGTACAGGTATTAATAAGCACTGATTATTTCAGTAAGTATCTTTACTAATTAATGAAAACAAATAAACACTATTGTATCATGAATGAGTCTGTACAGTAGACAAACAGTGAGGTAACCCTTTTCAGGGGGGTGGCCCGGTCACTTTTACCCCCAATGGACCCTTCTCCCTCTTCCTGCTTAGTTCACAACAAATGTTTTAATCTTGACTGTATTTGTGTTAAAGAGATGAATTTGATACCATAATGATCCTCTATGAGACGTTTCCAATATCATATCCTTAAATGACAAGCCAAATTAGAAGGTAAAAATAAGTATTTTACTGTATGTGAAGGGTACTGGTAGAAGAATTTATTTGAAATACTCCGTAACAATCAATACCATTGTATCCTGATTAGTTTTCCTTGTGATAAAACCATAATTTTGAGCTGCTTATTACTGTACTCATTTTGTACTAAATGTACTATGCTAAAGGACTAAAAATTTTATCTAGTGCAAATTATGAGAAATTTATACTGTACTCAAATTAATTGCTATCTTACAAGGACTCTAGCTGTGCAAGTTATATTGTCTTAAGTCAAGTCTGTGACATTTTTTAAGATAAAACTTTAAGCTTAAAACAAAATCCATCCCATTATTCGTTATTAATGTCGTCTGTTCCCACACTGCTTGCTGGGAGGAGGGGAGAAGGCGAGGTGTCAACAGTCAGGAGGGGAGATTAACGCTAACTCAAGGATTATGAAAGGCAGGGGGTTTAATTTTTTTGCTTATAAAATGGCAGTGACTTGACTTAAGAGAATATAGCTTGCATTGCTGGAATTCTTATAAGACAGCGATTAATTTGAGTATAAACTTCCCTTATTTTGTACCAGACATAATAATTTTAGTATAATTAACTTAGTACATTTGAGTACAGGTTGTGATAATTTATGTGGTTGTTCAGAAGTTGTGGTTGCCGTTTCGAAGCTTTGTGACATCACTAGTGTATAATGAGTCTCCATAGTCCTGGTTTATTCATTGATCAGTTGTCTAAGTGCAAAAGTAGCCCCGTCAAGCTATCATGTATCAAATAATTTTAAATAGAAATTATAATGTAAAATGTTATAAGATAATGGTTTAGTAGTGCTGTAAATGTGTGTGGTGTGTAAGTGTCTTGGCATGTCACCTCACCACCTGACTCCTGAACAAACTATTCATCAACTTCTTCAAATCCTACAATGTGCTTGGCAAGGTCAAACACACACACACACACACACACACACACACATGGGAATTAAGACAACAAGCATCCAGCGAGGGTCTTGTTGTGTGACTGCATGGAGGTGAATTAAAAGATCAGCTGTTGAGGAGCTTATTGCATAGCAACACTGGTGCATGTTACCACTCCTTTCCACTCCATCTCTCTAATCACTCACACCTTTCTGCTTTCTCACTTCATATTTTAAAATGTTATGTAATGTAATGTTGAAGGGATACAACTTTGCTCATTTATACTTATACTTATCACAATTTCCCTGAAAATACTTAAGCTTTGTCTTTACTCAAAACATCTTCAGGACATGAGACACTAATCCCCCACCCTACCTCCACCTGACATTGATTCAGGTCAGGTCAGGTCCCCCCCCCCAAAAAAAAAACATACTTTAACTTTCATCTTTATTCAAGACATTTTCAGAAAATTCTCTCAGTTTTCATCCTTGGAAAATTTGTTCCTAAAGCCGGAAATTTTTGGAAAATTCCGGCTTTGGGAATGATTTTCCGAGCAAATTTTAATTCCGGCTATCGGAGATTTCCGGGTTCGAGGGATTCCGGCAAACGGAAATATTACTGTATCTTAGCTGGGCCTCAAAGTCTCTCACTGTGTCACAACCAATGGTGCAGAGTCTCCGTACCAACTTCCATGTCCTCCAGTTCATGTAAACAGTACATGTATTTCAGTTACTATATTTGTTATTACCGTATATCACGGCCTATAAGACGAAATTTGAACATTAAAAAAATCTGCCCAAAGTTAGGGGGTCGTCTAAACCACCAAGTTTAAAATTCTTACCTCTTAAATATTGTGGTTTAGTGTGTCAAGAGTGGTGATGAAAACATCGTAAGCCACTCACAAGGTCTTACCACTAATTATTTTATACTGAAACTTACGTTTGGCAAGCTGGATTCAAATTAAGATTACCGGTATATTAAAATAATAAAAATGTATTATAAACCTGTCTAACATACCGTAAAAGAGATTTATACCCCTATAATAAACACAGCTATCATCACACACCCCTCCCCACGCCCCCCCCCCATTTGCCAGTGAGGAGCCGTGGAGGTGGTCAGTAATGCATACCGGTATCGGTATATTTACTCATAATAATATTTATCTCCTATAAATAATTGATTTAAATTTTATTTTTTTCCAAAGAATATTCAGTAAATGAGTGCATTAATTCTTGAAACTATCGACGGTTAATTACAGACGCTCAAGTGACGTCACTAGTGTTTACACTACACCAGCTGGTAATATTTGATGCCATTACTTGAAGTGAATTGGCCTTATTTTAAGTAACTAACTATAAATAAATACAAAAATTAAAAAAAAAGATCAAAACTGAGAAATAATATACTGTATGTATGTTGTGTTGTCAAAGTAAGAGGAACAATTGTGTAAGTACGTAATATTTTTTCACTCAAATCCTAATGAAACACTACTGGAGAACATTCCTTTGTCGCAAAACAGTTTATAAATTAAAGAAAATAATTACAGTGTGTTTAATATATTACAGTATATTATAAATAAATAAATAAAACAAATAATTCGGTAAATCTATTTAAAGTAAATGGAAAATAAGCAAACATGTTATTTACCAAGACCCTTCCGTCTGGCTCAGGGTGAGATGTAGGGGAGATAAAGAAGGCTATTTATAGCCCATCAGAAGTGACCAGTACCCTAATGCACCATAAATAATTCATTGAACATTCATTTTTTGTACATAGTATATTCAGTATATATATATATATATATATATATATATATATATATATATATATATATATATATATATATATATATATATATATATATATATATATATATATATATATATATATATATATATATATATATATTTGTGTAATAAATGTATGTAGTAAGTACATACTGGTAACCTTTTTCACTCAAATCCTAATGAAACACCACAATTAGAATACGGTGGTTGCTGTTGAATCACATGTTGTATAAATAGTCACACCACCGAGACGAGGGAACACTCCCAACACGCTTCAGTGACGTCACTAGTGTTTACACTACACCAGCGGGTATAATTTGATGACATTACTTGAAGTGAATTGGCCTTATTTTAAAAAATCAAGGATGGTTGGTAAAGGACTACTGAGTCAGTGGGTAAGTGTCACATTTGGGGTACTGGTCTTATACAGCAAATAGAGCTCAAAAGCTACTTTTTAAATGGAAATTTGGGGGGGGCGTCTTATGCACCCCGCCGCCTTATAGGCCGTGATATACGGTAGCTTATAATCACTGTGTACACCCAAAATTATTTTAAGAACATTTTGTAGCATTGTAAGAATTTTATCAGGAATGTATCTTAGCTTTTCTAATGGGAGTCTATGGCAATACAGTGTGGTATGCTATAACGAACGGATCCTACTACGAATATTCCTATAACAAACGGTTTTACCTATGAAATTGAGAATGATATAACGAACGAAACTCCTACAACGAACATTTTTTTTTTTTATTACAAGTATTAATGATATTCTTTATTTCAGGAGTTTTGATGCATATTTATGACACTTTTTTACAATTTTTAAAATTTTATATTATATTTTTCAGTGTTAAGTGGTTGTGATGTATTTGGGGGCCTGGAACGGATTAATCCTATAACGAACGAATGCTATAACGAACAAGGTTCTAGAACCAATTAGATTCGTTATAGCATACCCCACTGTATATGATTTAATGTGCAAAAAATTTATTTACAAAAGGCTTTTCAGGAAAGGAACCCTTTCATAAATTGTCAAATGCCCGTATAACGTGAATAATATTGGATCTCTTACCATTTTAATTTATACACTATTGTATCATGTTACATTAAATATGAATTAATTTAGTTTTCTCATTATGAAGGTGGTTACTACACCCGGTAATGACCATCTGAGCTTGGCAGTAGCAAGAGCTTTGGAAGAAAAGTTTGGTGGTTGGGTTTCTCCATCACCAATCAAAGTCGCATCCTCTTAACTGGATCATCCACAAAAATAGAATTATTTTCCACTTGGTTTAATTTTAGAAATTTATACTTTTGCAGTCTTGTTCACAGTATTTAATAAGATGATACACAAGCCAGGTTAAAGTGGGAGGCATCAGAGTGAAGTGAACATATTTGACAGTCACCAGTGTTATCAATTTGAAATTGGCATTTATATACTATGGATTTTGAACTACCATTCTGTTAATGTCATCACAGTTCAGTAGTTTTTTCATAACCCAGCAGGAAGATAAATTGATAAGATAGAAACAGGTCTTTCTATCTTCCATCCAATTGTTTATTCTAAGCTAATTGAACAAATCAAAAGTAAGAGATTTTAGTTCACCAATGTCTTAGATCTTTCAAACTTATTACAGTAAACCCTTGATAACTCGGCACATATGGGACTCTGGCATTGCCGAGTTATCCCAAATTCCAACTTATTGAGGCACCATGGCTAATTTTCTTTAGTCATCATGTAGACCTGATATATATGTCTGCAAACATCTAATTCTAGGTTGAAGCTTTTATGTGGTTCTATCATTGTTTAGCATTTGAGTGGTCAGAATACTCCACTAAATGGCAAAATTGATATGGTCATGTACAAATCACCATTTTATAATCTGACATCTATGAAAGTACCATTTAGCATCTGATTACGGTTTGCCAAGCAGCTGGTAGAGGCATTGTGGTTAATTTGTTGAAGTTCACCATTGTAGGAGGGCCAGGCTGGTATTGCCCCACTAGAGGACACAACCTCAAATTAAAGAAGTCATAAGTACAGAAAATTTTTGGATCTACATGTGTAAAGAGATTTCTGTCAGGATTTTCAATTGTTGGTGGAGTAGTGTAATTACCAACCTTGTTATGTGTTTAACCCTTAAAGTGCGGCCATGGAAAAAGAGAGTGATCTGTGTACTGTATAATAAATATAATGGTTGCCCCTCGTGTAACGAGGATGGCCAGGCCAAGGGCCACCTAGACATGAATTTGTTTAAGGTGTAGAAGTTGTGGCCAACACAACAACCACACCCTGAGTTAATGAGATGCATGACCCAGTGTCAAGGAATAACCCGAGAAGACCGGACAACTCGCCAACTGCACTGGATAACCATTACCCCGGAATACGATCCGCAAATCGATTAACATTCAGGTTCCCAATTACTGCTGGGTAGACAGAGGCAAATGGCGTAAAGAAACTTGCCCATAGTTTCTCCCTGCCCAGGGATCAAACCCACAGGTCTGCTCGCTTGCAAGGCGAGCATGCTGACCATTACACCATAGGTTGCCATGTACTGTATATGAAATTATAGACAAGCATGCAGAATAACAGAATATGGAACAATAATCTTCAAGATCTATACAACTTGTCTGGGGAATTGTTTTCTCCATGCACAGTTCCATTATAATAACCCACAATACAGTAATAGTCATGGAACCACTTCCCTCCCTCTTATCCTTTAACTGTTAGACATAGAGGTTCCACTCCCTATGCCTGATAAAGACCTACTGAGTGATGCTGCTCACATGTCCACTATCTTAATCGTAAAACAATAGCACAGGAAATGAATGCATCTATTGATACGGGCCTCAGTTGCCTACGTCAACATACCGGTAAATGAAAGTTGGCTGCAGTTTAAGGGTTAAAGACTTTAGTTGTTGAAGCACAGTAATAACATAAACAAATGAAGAACAAACACTCCCACAATCAGTACAGCATATATTGTATATTAAAGTAGGTAGTATCTTAATATCTGATTAGTTTGTATTGGATTTTCAGTTGTAATTTATGAAACATAAGGTGTGCTTAGAGGAAATATTAGGATGTTTACATAAGCTGGTGTGACTATACATACAGTATGGATGCTACTGTCAAAGATGGACAAAAACTTTATCATATAGATATATGTTATGGGTTTGTATGGAAAATATTAATTTCTGAAATATATTGATAATGCTTAGGGAAATATTGGAGTGTTTAACTGTAGTTTGTACAGGTCGACCACCGATTTTCCGATTATCACTGGTACGGAACCTCTGATGGTCTGGATAGTTAGAATTTCAAATTTACCGTGCATGTATGGTGAACAATTGCTACCCGGGACAAGCTCTCAGCATTGGTTTTTTTTTTTTTTTTTTAATATACAGTACAGGTTGTACCTCTAGTCCGGAAACTCCCGTGGTCCGGAACGATTTTAGTTTGCCCATGGGGAAAATTAATTTGAGTCTGGTACTTTCCATGTTTGGCTAAATTTTGCCTTATTTGCCCTACTTTTTTTGGTGAATTACTACCTCTAATAAACCAACAAAAATAACACAGATAAAGTTAAATAAAAACTAAAAACAACACAGAAAAAGTTTTTATGTTCTACAGCTTCAGCTAGAGTTGAACCTGATGACTTGGCAACTTCGTCATCCGAGTAAAAACACACACAACAACATTGGCTGTCCTTATGTTTTCAACTTTACCACCACTGGTGAGTAGAATTTATGTTTTAAATTCAGAAACATGAATTAAAATACAGTTGGGTCTCACTTTACGCAGTTAATGTAACCCACAGGGTACCGCGGAAAGTGAGAAACACGTAAAGTGAACAACATAACATATGGGATTAATTGAAATAGAGACCGGGCCGACCCCCAAACTCCACTTTTTGACGACACACAACTATGTTGCAGTAAAAATATTATCTTAACTTTATGATGGTATGCACACACAATTAATAATTAAGAGAAATATCAATAATATTAGGTTTTTTAACACTTACATTAGTAGAAAAGATGGCTGGGCACACAGGGATGGGCGGTTGGTTCCGAGGCAGAGGGCAGATTATTGGCCCTCACCTGTATCACTTGTATCAATTGTATCGCTATCCACCACAGAGGCTTGCAGGGCCTCTTTGTCAAACCCCTCAAAGTCCATATCCTCACTATAATTATCACTATCACTGGCTTGGGCCGGCTGTGGTGGGTGGCGGGTGAAGAACTCGGTAATGTTATGATGACTGGGCGACCTTGTGCGCACCATGCTCGCACCGCTTACACAACATGGCGGATGGCGGGAGGTTTGGATCCAAAAATGGCGCGGCTCACCAGCCGCTCTCCGCTTAAAGGGGTACACGCACCGCGGAATGTGAGCATCCTGGGTTCCGGCAGGGCACCGCATAAACGCGGAATGTGGGACCGCGTAAAGTGAGGGTTGACTGTACATATGAACAGTAAATAAGTGTTGCTTTCATATTCTTATGTAGAGTAATGACGATATGTTTTCACATGTGCGCACTTACATATGCGATCTCACTTTTTTTCTTTACCATAAATGGTTTGCTACTTATATTGTTCCATTTATTAACATTAAATAACATTACTTCAAACAACCATATTAATTTTTTACATTAATTTTATTACAGTTACAATCAGGGTCTTATTTTCTTCAGTTTTATATGTAGAACCAGTCAGTCACTGGTTTTGTAAACAACGAAAACACTGCCGTCTCGTCTCCTCGTGTGTTTTATTATTCTATGTATTATTAATGAATTGTATTGTTCATTTTGCACACAAACATTAATTCAATCAAAAAGACATTCAGTAATAAACAATAATGAGTCTTTTGTACATAAGAGAAATGACGCTGTTTACATGATTATTTACGTCTGAACGTTGGCGGGCCACTCAAACCCGTCAAAATTCGAGTTTCCGCCCCGTCGAAATTTTAAACTGTTGTTTTTTTTGTGTGTGTCCAAATAAAAAACGTTGAATTAAAACTTACAAAATTTGAGAACCTACTGTACAACATTTAACCCTTCAATATGTTTTCAAAGAGACCACAAAGCAGTGAAAGTGGTGCTAGTGCTTCCAAGCGTAAGCACAAGTCACTATCTGTCCAGGAAAAGGGTGAATTTCCATGGTCTGGAAATTTCCATGGTCCGGCACCGGTCAGGTCCCGAGGTTGCCGGACTAGAGAGGTACAACCTTTACAGGGATTACCCCACCCAGGCACAGGTCACTGACCCACATCGGGGCCTGGGGGGCAAAAATGTAATAATAATAATAACAACAATAATAATAATTAATTCATAGTAAATAAAATTTATACTAAATACAAAATTTAGAATAAAATTATAATACAGTAACAATAATAATAACAACAACAACACTGATAATAATAATAATAATAATAATAATAATAATAAAGAACCATAAAGAAATACAAAAATGAAAAAAGATCAATAGTGAAAAACAATATACAGTATAGTGTGGATTTACGCGGTTTTTGTTTATGCGTTTGGTCATTTACGCGGTGCTTTGCCAGAATGAAATGTTTTAATTATGCGGTAAATTTGGTCATTTACGTGGCGAGCGGCTGGAGAGGTGCGCATGCACCGCACCATTTTTTACTCATGAGGTCCATTCTTGACCATACGCGGGAAGTGGCGCAGTGAGGGGTGCGCATTAGGTCGCTCTTGCGTTATCGCTGACGTCATATGACGTATCGGACTGTGATTGGGCCATGCATCCTTACCACCCACGCATTCCCTCCGCCCCTAGCTGTGATTGGTCTAATGTAACATGACGTGCCCTGCCACCAGAGGGTAGAAGTCGCTGACCTAGCCGGGCCTGTCTCATTGTTCTCAGTCCGCGTATACAGTTCTCTCTTGTGCCCGCTATTCCCCTCACAATGGCTTCCGCTGGACCCCCACCACCCGAGAAATACCTTGAATTACCTGGACCAAGCCATGATTGTGTGAAGGAAATCATCGAGTTGGGGGAGAAAATTAAGCTCGCCCTTGACAACGACCCAGACAAGCATTGGTATGAAGCGTCTAATAACCATCTGACGAAAGTTATGGAGCCGTATATCCAGATCTATCTCGACAACATCAATGCTAGTCGTCAACGTAGTATTAAGGACTTCTTCGCCCGCCACAACCACAGCCAGCCTAAGTCAGTGATAGTGAGGATATGGACTTTGAGAGGTTTGTCTGGGAGGCCCGGCAAACCTCTGCGAGTACCGGGGTAGCGAAAGTGATTCACCGGAGGGCAACTAATCTGCCCTCTGCCTCGGAACCAGCCGCCATCCACGTGTGCCGACCCATTTTTTCTACAAACGTAAGTGTTAAAAAACCTAATATTATTGATATTTCTCTTAAATAATAATTGTGTGTGCATACCATCATAAAATTAAGATGTTAATTTTACTACAAGGTACGTATTGTGTCGGAAAAAGTGGAGTTTGGGGGTCAGCCCAGTCTCTACAGTATTTCAATTAATCTCATATGTTCTGTTATTTCGTTTACGCGTTTCTCGTTTTACGTGGACCTCCACGGGTTCAAATGACCGCGTAAATGCAGACTATACTGTATGTATGTTGTTTTTGTCAAAGTAAGAGAAACAATTGAAACCCTGCAATTGTGCGTAAATGAGGCAGAATGTCAGATCAGCAACCTGGGACTTGTTCACAATTTTTGTGATGCCATATGGCAGCAGGGTCTACCATTAGACAACACATTATGCTTCCAATATCTTCCCAGGCGGTAGTACCTCCCTGATTGGTAGCTGCCTACTACATACTAGTATGTTAACCATACTGGGCTGTGAGGTGTTATGGTTACTTTAAACTCATAATTTTAATATTATTATTATTTCTTTTTTTATTCAGTTACATACACACACAATTTTACATACAGAATGTGCAAAAACAAACTTATCATAAAGTAAAAAACATAAAAGGAAATAAACTTTCTTCGTGTTTTAAGAGTTCACGCTAAGTGGGGGAGGTCAGAGTGATGGATCACAGCTCTCTCATTGGTGTAGTCAAATGCTTGACATACTGTACTGTATTTCGTTTACCAGCGGCTGAATGGGAATGGAGTATTTTTTTATTTTTTTATTTATTGTTATTTTGATTTTGATTTATTCCTCACATTTACTGGTACTGTACTGTATATATTATCTTATATGTCATAGAAGTTGGTCACTGGCGGGAATTCCATTTCAGAGTTGGTAACACTGTTC